TTGACGCAGGCACAGAACCAAACACAGGCACTCGTGGGCCTCCATAACACTGGCCGTATCACAGGCGTAAGAAAACGGGTGAAAGGGTCACATATAAGACTGAGACGACGGGCGATACGGGTTTATAAGGGATATCGGCAAGCGGGTGCTGCATGCCACCCAGCAGCGTACGCACGTAATGGCCTCCGGGCTCTAGGGGCACGAGCCCCCCCCCCCCCTCCACTCCTATCGAATGCATTGTATGCATTAATGTGCATGCATACATATGAACAATTGTGAACTCCAGACCGGCTGCCGGCCGACGCCGCCACCGATGGATGCACAGAGGCTGAGCGGGGCGGAGGACGAGCCTCGGGAGACGCAGCCCTGCTGGTCGACTGCCTGATCAACCGGCGTGAGCAGTGGCCACGGATCCGGCCGATTCTGCACGCAGGGTCGGTCGGGTGTGACGTCCCGCGGCGCCGCCCAGCTCGCCGTCGAGCTCTCCACCGGGCTCTCTCGTCGAGCCCGCCATCGAGCTCTCCCGCCGAGCCCGCCGTCGAGCCCTCTCGCCGGGCTCTCTCACCGAGCCCGTCGTCGAGCTCTCACGCCCAGCTCTCTTGCCGAGCCCGCCGTCGAGCTCTCCGCCGGGCTCTCTTGCCGAACCCGCCGTCGAGCTGTCACGCCCAGCTCTCTCGCCGAGCTCTCTCGCCGAGCCCGCCATCAAGCTCTCTCGCCGAGCCCACCGTCGAGCTCTCTCGCCGAGCCCGCCATCAAGCTCTCTCGCCGAGCCCACCGTCGAGCTCTCTCGCCGCTCCCACCGTCGAGCTCTTTCGCCGAGCTCTTTCGTCGAGCTCTCTCGCCCAGCCCTCTTGCCCAGCCCGCCGTCGAGCTCTCTCGCCCAGCTCTCTCGCCAGCTCTCTCGCCGAGCCCACCGCCGAGCTCTCTCGCCGAGCCTGCCGTCGAGCTCTCTCACCCAGCTCTCTTGCTGAGCCCGCCATTGAGCTCCTCGCCCAGCTCTCTTGCCGAGCCCAACGTCGAGCTCTCTCGCCGGGCTCTCTTGCCGAACCCGCCGTCGAGCTCTCACGCCCAGCTCTCTTGCCGAGCCCGCGTCGAGCTCTCTCGCCCAGCCCTCTTACCGAGCCCGCCGTCGAGCTCTCTCGCCCAGCTTTCTTGCTGAGCCCGCCGTCGAGCTCTCTCGCCAGGCTCTCTCGCCGAGACCACCGCCGAACTCTCTCGCCGAGCCTGCCATCGAGGTCTCTTGCTGAGCCCAGATCTCTGCTGAGCCCGTCGTTGAGCTCCTTGCCAGCTCTCTTGCCGAGCCCACTGTCGAGCTCTCTCGCCGGGTCTCTTGCCGAGCCCACCGTCGAGCTCTCTCGCCGGGCTTTCTTGACGAGCCCACTGTCGAGCTCTCCTGCCCAGCTCTTTTGCCGAGCCCACCGCCGAGCTCTCCCGCCCAGCTCTCTTGCCGAGCCCGCCGTCGAGCTCTTTCGCCGAGCTCTTTCGTCGAGCTCTCTCGCCGGGCTCACTTGTCCAGCTCTATTGCCGAGCCCTCTGGCTCGCCGAGCGGCAGGCGATCCCGCCACGCTGACCTCGGTGGACAGCAGCGTGAATGTACTCTGGAGGACTGAGGACGGGGTGGGGGCAGCACCCGGGATGACCTGATACCGCTGTGGGCTGCGACCATCAGCTGTGTGGACTGTCTGATGCTGTGTTGAATTGCGATGCGAAGATGAGTAGCTGTGAGAAGATGAGAGGACGACTGTCTGGGTGGTGTTGTTTCCACCGCGCCAGTTTTAGCCGGTCTCTCCAGACGTCGTGTTGTTTTTCGAACACCTCCCCGCATTGGCCCGGCTCCACATCAGCTGCTGCGACGGAGCCATATGTAGCGGGCAGAGACACGCAGCACTGACTTTTTACACGCCGCCGGCGGGATGAGATAAGCACAAAAGACTGCGGGACTGACGGCGGGAACTGCCGGAGGCTCACAACTCCAGCAGCGTCTTCGCTCAGCCAAGGCCGCGGCGGCTGGGTTTGAGAGCCCCCGCGGCCGGGAGTGCGGCGGCAGCGGCGCTGAATGCCAGCCGGGCACATGCTCGATTGGTCGTCACCACGGCGTGAGGGCTGCCTGCCGAGCCGCATTGTGAGACGCCAGATCCGACGCGCCATCTAAATCGCCTCCGGACACGGCTGCTAGTCATCACCGGCTGTAGGAGCAGCTGGCCAGGCAGCGGCTCCCTGGTCGCCTGTCCCGGCGGCGACGGGCGCTGGCCTCGGAGATCGAGGGAAACCGGCCTCGGGGAGG